GAGAGAGAGAGAGAGATTGTTTCCCAACCAGTATGCCACAGCACACAGGTGTGCCATCAGACATGAACAGGTGTGCCACAGAATTTTGGAAAAGTCACACACATAAATGAATAACTGGCAGCATTGCTTGCATTCTAGTCTTTGAAGAGCCCTGCCACAGTGCTTTTCAGTCCCCATTGTAACACTTGTTCAAGTCCTGCATTTTCACAAAGCTTCATGTATTTGATAAATATCTTTAATATGAGTCTGATATTTTAGCATAATCATCTCACCATAAAGCTATATTACCCCTGTGGCTTTTCATGGAAAGGTACTTCCTGTAAAACAAAACCTTTGACAATAATTACACATAGCTGCTCAGTGCAATGTGTTATTGATAAGTTCTTGTGCTTTTAGAAGGTCAAAAATGACAATGCATAACACATCACATATTTTTCAAGGTATTTTTCTGCTATTTTATGTTTAAGGATGTTGAAACTCATGTTTTTCTTTGTATCTTCTGTGTTTCAGTGAAAGGTTTATGGTGAGATTAAACAAGAATGGAGGCCCCAGGAATCCAGAGAAGATAGATCGGATGTGTTCCCTTTTCACAGTATGTGCATACTTTCATTCTCCTTCCCCGTCTTACTGTGGACAAAGCCCTCCCTTGCAGATTGTATGTCTGTGGGCACAGACATGCTAAAAACAAACAATTTTTGAGGAAAAATGAAAAATTACTATATTTCTGCTTCTTTTTAATGCACTACAAAGACAGATAGATAGAAATTATCTTATACATTGATTTTTTTGAGAGTAGAGGGACACTAGGTTCTTGTTTATAGCTCTGATTTTTCAAATGTTCTCACTGCATTCATTATACACTATGTACAGAAATAGTTTTTTGACTCTGTCCATTTGGATTCCACTCTAAGGGTGCATCCAGATAAGCAACCTGGTACAGGACAGATGAATGCTGGAGTCCTCAGAACAACACGAGTCTCTCAAGAATACTTTTAGTCTTCTAAGCCCCCTGTAACAGCTGCGTTTTACTTTACAGCATTTCATTTATTGCTGTCCTGCATTGCTAATATTCTTACAATAGTGACTGCAATAATTGAACAATACACTTACAAGTTTTGATATTCTACATTTTTCTGCTTCTGATAGAACTCTGTTAATGAGTTTACCTTAGAAGCAGCCAAGAGCCTGTGGCTGACACCAGCTGCACTACTATGGCCAGAGATCCGAAAATAAATATGAATTGCCACAAGAGGTGTTTGAAAAATGTAATACCTGTTCAGTACCAAATCTGCTGGTAGTTTATGGAGTGTAAAAGCCAAGCAATTTAAGAGCACCCCAGGAAACCAGGATGCAAAGAAATTAAATCTGTTTGGAAGAAGGACCTATTATCTCTATAATTTCAGTTATATATTTCAAATTATTGGGCCTTGTTTGGAAAAGATGATTTCTTTATCCCAGTGTGATCTTCCCTTTGATATTATAACCAGCGTCTTTAAGAACATGACTTATTTTTGAGTGGGCAGCCATGACTGCTTAGAGGTAGCAAAGGCAGATTAAGTCATGTTGTAATATCAGAGACGACTAATATGTGGGTTACCAAGGATATTATCTCTTCTTGTGGAAGAGAGCTAAGAAAAGAAGTGTCTTCTCTAATTCAGTGAGTTGTAACAGGAGTTGTAACTTTTGAAGTACAGAAGACAAGGTTTCTACTCCTGACATTTCCTTGTCCTGGAGGAAAAAAATATGACATTGTCCTGTGCAAGACCTGAGAAGACTGGACACATATATCTGCTCTTGCAGACTTAAGATCATAAAGCTGGCCTCAGTCACCCTTGCCCTTTAAACTGAAGACATTTCGTGACTCCTGTATCAATTATGTCATCCAATACATAACAAGTTCTTGCAGTTCACAGTAATATCCAGTCATTACCAGTACTCTTTTCTACCATTCAGTGTTATCATAACATGAGAGCCTTCATGAAATGTCTTGATGTAGTGACAGCACATATAAAGAAACAAGGTATTCTTGTCTACCTATACTGTATCTAGATATTGTTAAGAGGTCCCATCAGGCAGTTTCCACAGTCTTGAACTATTTCCTTTGCTTATTTAGAGAAATACCTCTTGCTTAATTATGAAAAATCATCCTTCAGCCTGTTTCAGACAATAGAGTTCATGAAGCATTAACTAGCTCCAAATTAGTAAAAAGCATATCTTCTAAATATATATTTCTTTCCCTTCATTTAATATTGCCATGTGGTTTTCATCTAATGCTACCAGTATCAAAATGAATTCAGCAACTGCAATAAGAAATTGCTTCAGATTGCAAGGCAGTGTTTGAGTTTATGCATATATGACTGTTACAAGACTCATTATGATCAGCGTATCCTTCTACTAGGTGTC